AATTGAATTGAATTGAATTGAATTGAATTGAATGCTGCAGCAGGCAGGATCGTCCATTGATCATTAGTCACTGTTAACCTCTGACTCTCCTCCACAGCATGCCACTGTCTTGTCTTCCTTCCCTCACCCCAACCGATTGCAGCAGAGGGCTGTCCCTCCCTGAGCCCGGTTCTGCTGGAGGTTTCTTCCTGTTATAAGGGAGTTTATCCTTCTCACTGTTGCCAAAGTGCTTCCTAATTGTTGGAATTTTTTCTTTGTTTTCGCTGTCTTTCTTGTTCTTTAACTTACAATATAAAGCACCTTGAAGCAACTGTTTTGGTGATTTAGTGTTATACAAATAAAATTGAATTGAATTGAAATGAACCCAGTCCTGAAGTTTTATTCTCACACAAAATTTCACATGCCCTTTTCCAGATCTATTTATCAGAAAAGGAAGCAGTATGTTTCTGTACCTTTAAGAAGTCGCTAGACTGTTCCTGAGGCCCATTATGGTGTCAAACAGCTTCAAACAATAGAACATTTGTTACTGTGTGCCAATTGTTCCATTAGGCACTTTTTTCAGCACCCACCAAAGATAGTAAAATCCCAAAAAATACAAAGGATTAAACCAAAAACCAAAAACAAACAAATAAAAAGGGAAATATTTTGATATGGAAAAAAACAAACAAACTGTGCATGACTGTTAACAACCACATTCTTACACCATGCAAGTGGTGAAATAGTAAAGCTATTATAAAAATAAGTTGATAATTTCCACACCAAAGCAAATTTGTTTAGGTTTAGTGACGTATATATCAAAACTAATTGTGAGATTAATGTGTAGACATTTAAGCACACTCAAATACTTGTGCATCTTTTGTGGGTTGGATAGCTCTCATAGCAAAAAAAGCTAATGGCTAATGGCCGAGTCCTAAAAGAGGGAATGAAATCAGGGATGCATTCTAGCCAGATGTTGAAAAGGTGCAATTTCTCTGTATTAACTCATTTAAACTCAATTGAAGTAGTATGTCAGAAAGTCCTATGTTTTTTTGCAACAGGAACTTCTCACACCCATAGTAATGGTCGCAGGCATAACATGCGCGTGTTTAAGCATGACCCCTGATCTGTGTGGATGACAGGAAGACAATAAGGCTTTGCAGTCGCTATGGACATTGTTAGTCACACATGCTGCTTTTTAAACTGAACTCCAAGAATGAAAGGTTTTTGGCAATTACTCACCAACCTCTGATCTATTATCACCACCATGTGGACTAAAGGAGTGATGCTGATTTGCTCTAAGGCCGTGAAAACAGATGTTATGCCTTTGTGGTCAACGCGGCTGTAAGAGACAGATATAAGATGTTTATGTGGCCAAGTATATACAGAAGCAAAGGAAACAATCTGGATTTTGTCCATATTTAAGAAGAATGACAGTTTCAGTAAATGCAGTTTCGTGATAATTGAACTTCCCTGTATGAGCAACAGCAAACCTCCATTTAGTATTTGATCATGGTTATTCATAATGATTATGTGTGTCTTTAGATATGCAGAATATCTTTCATGTCAACATTCAAAGTAGACATGAAAACACTCTCACTGATTTGATTGATATTAACTTTGTAAACAGCACTTAGAGGGGCATTATGCTGCCTTCATAATCACAATATATGGACAACAATGTCTGTCAATGACAACAAGCTACGAATTAACAGAAATTCAACTACAAAACATGTTTCAGCATGCTGTCATTTCTCCGTTTCATTCAGGCCAGCGGGAGGTGACTGTCAGAAGAAATGCCGGTCCCAGGTGCCCTAGTACATCACCACTGGGACCATGGCGACTCCTTGGCCAATGAGAAGAGAGAGGTGCTCCCATGGCTCCGCCTGCCTTGCTAGATGGTTGGCGTCATCCTTGATGCTCCTATGGTTGCCGTGGATGTTATTATGGCTGCCGTGGCCTACCCAAGCTGAACAGGTGGGCAACGGGGGACATGGCGGAAAGGTGCTGCACGGATCCCTTTCGTCCCCCTCATCTTCGTCATCTTCCTCCTCCTCCACGTCCCCTTCTGGCTCCTCACCATGGGGTTTTAGCACAAGGCAGAGCGGAGGGCAGCTGGACTGGCTGCTGTCAGAGAAGGGCCCTTTCCACAGGTGTCCTGAGTACACCGAGTTCAGAGAGAGGTTCCAGCAGGGATTTTCTACCAGATACAAGATTTACAGGTGAGAGGGATCTGCACTGGGGTTTTTTAGTGAGACCATTTTTCTCTGTCATATCATATAATATCTACAGACTCTCTTTGTCTTTTGTGCAGACAAATAGGTGTGACTTTGTCTTTTTCATTCTTCCTTCCTGCATCTTCATTTTTTTTAAATAATTCCTTTTTTTTATCTGCAAAGATTTTTGTATCTACCAGCTGTTCTTCTTTTACAGCTCTGTTAAATTACTTCAGCTTGCTGTTCAAATGGTCAAACTTCTTTAAAATGCTGTTCTAAAATGTTGCAACATCGCATGCTCTTGGCTGATGTACTTTGCAGGCAATCACTAGCTCTGTTTCTTCCTTGAAGTGCTCTTTAAGTGGACTATTTCAAAAGTGGATTTTATGTTTTGTCATTTTATATTGACACAGAATCTTCTCTGCCCCTTTTTTCTGTCCTTAGCACTTATCCATATGGTTAAAAAAGGGTTTCAGGGATGCTAGTGACAGAGGTCACCAGTCCATCACAGGGCTAACACAGACAGACCCATTCACATTTTCATTCACATCATTTTGAACCAACAATTAGCCCAACACGCCTGTATTTGAACTTGCTTTGCACATGCAATCTGCCGAAATTCTCAAAGAAGAAAGTGAAGAAGGAAGGTTTGTTTTTTTTGGATGTACATTTTTTCTTCAGCTGCCTAAGGGTTAGGTGATTGTGAATTTAAAATCCATGTTACTGTTAGCTAGTGCACATTTATGTGTTCTGATTCTCTTGAGGTGACCAGTTGACCAGTGTCTTTGAAGGAAAATGTTTCTGGACAATTTTACCCCAGATGATCATGGAGAGATTTTGTTTTTATATCAACACTCAGCACAAAGTTCATACTAAACAAAAGATTAAATAGCCAAATGCTGACTGAAAGGGCATTAACCAATAAAACATATAATCACAATTCATGAACCACTTCAAAACGTCAAGTAAATGGGTGAAAATCAAACTATATTACTGGACTTTCCAGCATCTCTTTATTTTTCATGAAAGAACAGGATTGTGGCCAATAGAAAGTAAACAGAAAGAAAGAAACTCATACTTTTGAACACAGCTAATTATAGCAGATTAGAGTTCTTGCCTCCAGTTTAGACATTTAATTAGCTAATTAATGTCAAGTGAATGGTTTTGACAAATTTTATGTCTTTATCTTGAGGGAAAGTTATTTTAAAGTAAGCCTTGAATGTTGCTGTGATATATGCAGTCTTTGCAAATTTATCGAAACAAAACATGCTCTTAGCTGAATCTGTTAAACAGTGACTAAACATGGATCAGAGGGAATGGATAATGCATTTTGTCTGCCAGAATAAAGCAAGTGTTTTTTAAAATACCGTCAATATAATATCTGAAGATATAAACGAGTAACAGTTCATTTTGACAGGTGGACACATTAAATGAAGCTATAAAAAATTCCCCTCTCACCCCTGTGGGAGGTATATCCTTCAAGCTCAGGTCCTCTACCAGAGGCCTGGGAGCTTGAGGGTCCTGTGCACTGTCTTTGCTGTTCCTAGGACTGCTCTCTTCTGCACAGAGATCTCGGATGTTGTTCCTGGGATCTGATAGAGCCACTCACCTAGCTTTGGGGTCACTGCACCAAGTACTGGGACCACTGTTACCTTCACCCTCCACATCTTCTCGAGCTCTTCTCTGAGCCCTTGGTATTTTCCAGCTTCTAGCATTCCTTCTTCCTGATGTTGCTGTCATTTGTATCGCTATATCTATCACTGTGGGTGTCTTCCTCTGCTTGTCCACCACTACTATGTCCGTTTGGTTAGCCATCACCATTTTCACCATCTGTATCTGGAAGTCCCACAGGATCTTGGCTCGGATATTTTCAACCACCCTAGGGAGTGTCTCCCATTTTGACCTCGGGACTTCCAGGCTATACTCGGCACAGATGTTTTTGTATTTTATGCCGGCCACTTGGTTATAGCTTTCCATGTATGCCCTGTCTGCTAGCATCTTGCACCCTGCTGTTATGTGCTGGATTTTCTCAGGGGCATCTTTACACAGCCTGCACCTGGGGTCTTGCCTGGATCTTGTGCTTAGAGCTTGTTCCTGTGCTGCTATGATTAGTGCCTCTGTGCTGTCTTTCAGTCCAGCTTTGTCCAGCCACTGGTAGGATTTCTGGATGTCAGCCACTTCTTCTACAGTGGCTTGCAAAAGTATTCGGCCCCCTTGAAATTTCCCACATTGGTCTTTCACGTGGAATTCCAATAAAATTGATTCATGTTTGTGGCTGTAATGTGACAAAATGTGGGAAAGTTCAAGGGGGCCGAATACTTTTGCAAGCCACTGTATCTGTACATACTGTGCAGGGGCCTGTCCTTCCACAATGGTTCCTCCTCTTGCACCTCTGTGGTTCTGACACTCACCAGTCCCCGGCCTCCTTCTTTCCACTTAGCATACAACCTTAGGGTGCTGGACTTGGGGTGAAACCCTCCATGCATGGTCAGGAGCTTCCTTACCTTGATGTCTGTGCCTTCCATCTCTTCTTTTGGCCAGGTTGTTATCCCAGCAGGGTATGTTATTACGGGCAGGGCGGAGGTGTTGATAGCCCAGATCTTGTTCTTACCGTTCAGCTGACTCCTAAGGACTTGCCTGACCCTTGCAGCTTTTCTAGTGGCCTCCTTGTGGTTCCCAGTTGCCTGTGGCATTCCCAGGTACTTGCAGCTGTCCTCGATGTCTGCAATGTTGCCTTCTGGCAGTTCGATCCCCTCCCTCTCTTTGTTACCATCTGACTACAGTTCTCCAATCTGAATGACATTCAAATGTCCTTGCTGTATGTCCTGGTGGTGTGGATCAGTGACTTAATGTCTCATTCACTCTTGACATACAGCTTGATGTCATCAATGTAGAGGAGGTTGCTGACGATTGCTGCCATCCGTAGTCGGTATCTGTAGCCAGTCTCTTCAGTGATCTCACTAATGAGGGTGAGGCCTATGCAGAACAGCAGTGAGGACAGAGCATCTCCTTGGTAGATCCCACACTTGATGCTGAGTTATGCTAGGGGCTTGAAGCTGTCCTCTAGTGTTGTCCACCACATCCCCATTGAGTTCCTGATAAAGGCTCTTAGGGTCCTGTTGATCTAGGCATTCCAGGATCCAGATGTGGGGCATTGAGTCATAGACCTTCTTGTGTTCAATCCAGGCAGTGCACGTTGGTCAGCCTTGTCTTGCAGTCTCGGGTGACTGCTCTGTCCACCAGGAGCTGCTCATGGAGCTGGTGTTTCGCTCTGGTATTCTTGCCAATTCCCTTCTGTGCCCTGCTCATCTATTGACCCATGTGCCTGTTCATCTTAGCTGCTATGATGCCTGATAGGAGCTTCCATGTGGTACTGAGGCAGGTTATTGGCTGGTAGTTGGATGGGACTGGTCCCTTCTGGGGATCCTTTAGGATCAGGGTGTGTGTCCTTCTCCCATATGCTCTTCCAACATTGCTCTGTCTTCAGCCTTGGTGGTGCTGTTCTCATATTGTTCCTCTGCTACTGATAGTTGGATGATTCAGTGGAGTACAGCTGGTTTATTCTCCTGCCTTCAAGCTCTCGGGTGTACCTCTTCAAGCGGCTGGCCAAGGCTGTGAGTCTTTGCTTGGCAGTTTCCAAGGCCTCATGTATGGGCAGCTTGCTGTACTTCTTAGGCACCCTTCTCTTTATTGCACCTTTCTGCATTTCTGATAGTTGGCTTCCCTCCGTGCTACCTTGATTTTGGCCTATAGTCTCTTTCTCCGTGGAGGGTACTGCTCCTTGTTCATCTTGTAGCCAAGCGTCTTTGTCATCACTGCTGCCGTGGTGTAGATCAGCTGGCTGATTTCAGTGATGGTCGAAGTAGGGATTGTCTGTAATGCTGCATTCACATCTTCTAGTACACCTTCAGATGTGACTCCATGTTGTCATGGTAATCAGCTACGGAGGGGCCAGGCTTCCATGATTATGTCTAGGGATAGGTATTGATAAGATTTTCACGATTCCATTTTTGATTCTGTTTAACGATTCGATTCTTTATCGATTTTCTTATCGATTCTTATTTTTTAAAAAGGAGAACACTAAGGTCGATTAGCTCAGAACTTTGTTTTATATCTTCTCTTTGAACAAGACAGACATTTAGGAGTAACATGGCCTTACAAACCCAACAGTGACATTTTAAGAGATCCACAGCCTACGGCTCTTCAATGGGGTGTCACAGGGTCACCAGGAAAAAAAATTGTAAATGTAAAATAATAAAATAAATATTCTTCTGTAGCAATAACAAAGTATAACATAAATTATTCTGTAGCAATTACACAAGAATATCCAGTAATGTCCCTGCCTACAATTAAACACATTCACTTAC